TTTTGTTAGATGAGATAAATTGCACTTTTGGTCCATATAATTTGTAAATTTGTTTACAATGTTGAAAAGATTAAGCAGAAAGCCTCCCGAAAGAATCAGTTGCTAAATTTTCAAGAAGTGCCGATAGTGCGACAAAGACTAAATAATAGTATTGGAGAAGAACATTTGTGCAGTTAAGAAGTCAGTTATGGGACCAGAAGTGAGGATTCAACTTATTTAGGCTATGTTTGGTAAACCCACCTGATAAGCTAGTTTATAGCTTTTAAGTGAATTTCGAGTTTATAGTTGATAGGTTATGACTGTTTGGTTGAAAAACTAGCTTATATGGTAAAGTGTTTGGTAAAATTAGGTAATAAGCTAGCTGAAATAAAAATTTCAATTGACTTATTTGAAAAGCTACCCAAGGAAGAAGCATATGAGATAACCTCGAGCTTTTTAAAAAAGTTCGTCCTACCAAAACCAATCTTATTTACATACAGGAAGCTTATAAGCTAATCAATAATATATAAGCTAGCTTATATGTTTACCAAACACAGCCTTATTTATGTTTTCTGTGTTTAAGGAGAAGTTTTGAGTAAAATTCTCACATCCCTTTTTCTTTCCCACTAATACTTACAGCGGTTTGGGAGGAGGTTGAGCTCCCGGACGAATCCGAAACCGGTTGTGGGTCCATAACCTCGAACGAGACATCTGAAGGGAAACTCATTATGTCCGAAAGATCACTCGACTCGGACATGGAGTAACCTCGTGTCCCTCTCGTTCGGACCTCAAGGCTCATCTTGCTCATGGGCTGCGACACATTTGAAATCTTATTGTCCGCCTGCTTGTTGGTCGTGTGGCTGAACTCAGTTTCACTGGGTCCCGAGTTGATAAACGAGCTGTAGTTGCTTAAGCAAGAAGTATATTCCCTGTAGCTCGTGTTTTCCGAGTCATAAGGTGAAGGTGATTTGCTGCCATAGGAATTATATAGAGGAATTGTATTTTTTATCTCATCTGGTGTTCGTCTCGTCTGGTTTTCGCTGTCGAAGGATGATAACTCGGAGGCCGGGCTTTTCCAGCTATCTGGTCTGTGCTTAGGATATTAGAGTAAGAAATCCAGGTCAGTTGTGATTTTGACTTTTCGGTTTTTTTCATTTTTTAGTTTCTGATTTAGTTTTTTGATATCTAATCTTTTTTTAGCTGAATTTTAGTTTTAGACTGTCTGAAAATATAGTGTAGTGTGGTCTATTGGGACACAAGACTAAAAAAAAAATTTTATTTTTGCTGTTCCACATGGACCATTTGACATACTGTGTAAGGAAAGAAAGATCATGATTCAATGAAGAGTTCTCCCGAGTTACGGTTTAATAACTCGACAGGCTTGAATTAAGATGACGTACACGAGACTCGATTTACCCCTCTCTAACACACTTTGATGCAAAGCCCCATTTTTTTAATCTAATTTTCAACAACCTTTTTATTTCATTTTGTTTCTTTTTTACAGTGTAAGAAAAGAATATGATTTGATGAAAAGTTAATATCCTGACTTACGGATTATAACTCGACTGGCTTGAAATGTTATCAGCAGGTGAAAACGCATTCCGGGGCATGGAACTTGTTGTGCTGCTCGGAGTCTCTGGATTACTACCGGATTTGAGTTTTACAACTTTGCCCTTCGACACGACAAACACCGTGCAACAATCTGGTGCGTATTTTCCCACTGAGCTGGGAACATCTGCATTCTTAAATGCCCTGTGAATAAAGAAATTATATCAGAACCAAAAACTAAAAAAAAA